AAAATACAGGGGTATTATATAGACTGATTATTTACTTCAATACTGATTACTGATGGAGGCAAAAACATACAGCTACAGAATTGATTTTACACAAAACTGAAGAAAATCATGTTCTGGAAATAAAAGTGGCTTTCAACACCATAGAGTAAATGGCAGAGCAGAAAGACTTGGACTTCAGTTTCTCCACTATCTTAAAAACTCTTGGTGATAAATTCAAAAGTTATATGAATGTCAATGTTAGCATTTGACAAGAATTTTTAGAATACAATTAGTATAACTTATACTCTATACAAATAATCTTCTGATAGAAATTCAGTGTGAAAGCACTAGAAATTCAAATAAGATAGAAGCAGCTTGTCTATGTAAACCTAAATTTTAAATTACTTGTTATTTTAAAATCGATTGGATTTTTAGTTACTTCTTAATAATGTAAGGATATAAAGTTATTTATTTTGTAAATCAGTAACGTAGATGGCATATATGACGTATTTTATTTTTTGTTGCTAAAGATAGTATAGATGTTGAGATTTCTCAATTATTTCCAAACCTCTGATCCAGATTACAAAATAACTCCAATGACAATGAGATATTCTTGTTTTGAAGAGCAGAAAAAATTGTTCAAGCAGTGTCCCTGCTGAACACTTAACGAGGGAAATGATAAGCAGAGGATGATAAAATGACAATGAACTAATTATCCTATGTAAATATAAAAATATAGAAAGCATATTAAGTTTAAAATGTAGTTGGCAGTTAATTGCCCCACTACTATTTGAACTCTTCCCATCTCTATCAGTGGACTATCTCCAACACAATTTAAAAAGTAAATGCATGAAATCAGATTCATAAACAAAGAAGACCAAAAGTGACTCTAAATTATGTTGCTGTTATTTTTCAGCTACAGTTATGTGTTACATAATAACGTTTCCAACAACATACAGTGGTGGTGTCATAAATTATAATTTTTTAATGTTTAGATAGGCAAATACATACCATGGTGTTACAATTCCCTATAGTATTCAGTACAGTAACATGCTGTATAGGTTTGTAGCCTACGAGCAATTAGCTGAACCATATAGTTTAGGTGTGCAGTAGTCTGTACCATCTATGTTTGTGTAAGTACACTTGATGCTGTTCACACAATGACAAAATTGTCTAGCGACAAATTTCTCAAAATGCATCCCCACTGTTAAGCAACACATGATGATCTAGGTTGATTTATATGTCTGTGATATGTTTCACTACTTAATAATAGCTAACAATAACTGCCAAACATGAATCAAAGTGCATAACATTGATCGATACTATTTAGAAAATAGGACAACATATACCACAGACCTAATATTTTAGGACAGCGATGTGCGTGTGTGTGTGTGTGTGTGTGTGTGTGTGTGTCTGTGTTTACAATTATTTTAATAGATAACAATTGTAAATATCTTGATAGATTTTAGTACAGCAATAGTATTTTCTTCTAAGGCTTGTTTCAATGTGACTAATATTTTGGTGCTCCCCAAATATATAACTGAATTATTTTCTCGTTCTTTATTGACTAAATTTCTGCCTATGTAGAACTATTGTCAATGTTGAAAGCTTCCCATTTCTTCTGGCCTATTCAAAATAGCATCTTGAAGCCCTATTCAATTATCTAGATCCCTGGATACAACCTCTTACATACTCTTACATGTTCAAAACATGTGAATATACTTTCATATTTGCCCTAACATACTCTGACACTCCTCTTACATGTGTAAAATGTGAACATACTCTTATACTTGTCCCATATATGCCTACTACTCTTCCATATTACAACTGTAATATGCTTCATTCTTGTTCACTGTCATCTCTCCTCTGCAACTTCATCAATATGACTTGCCTTAGTCAACAAGCTCAGAGTGAACAGACACTAAAAGAGAACCACACATAATTGGGTATTTTATACTGAAATGCTTGATACTGCAACCACTTCCCTCACTTTTTCTTAAGGACACTGTGGCTACAGTGATTTATCACTGAGTTTCCACAGTGACAAGCGAGAGTAAGAGTCAATGTTCTTTCTCCTTGCTTTCTTGTGCCAAAGGCTGACTTTTAGATGTCAGTACAATGATATTCAGCCACTTAGAAAAACCCAGCAGACTCAGAAGCAGGTGAGCCCTTCCTTCTTCTCCTGTTTTTCTTATTATAAAAGCAGGCTAACTTCTCACATAGATTCAACCACCCCCTGAATAAAAGTTCTCCAAGACATGTCTTCAGAGTTGGCCTCTCATCCACCCTCTTCTGCTTTCAACATCCTTCCGTTATAAGGCATTTGCTCTCAGTTACCTTATTGATGATTAACACCAAATATATCAATAAAAAATCTAAGTAGACATTTGTACACTTAAGTTCTGGTTCATAAATAAGCAGAAAGTATATGCATAATTGTGGGGGGATTTTTTGTATTTATGCTTCTATCCCTACCAGCTCCACCCCATCAGAATTTTACTTTAATCATTAAGTGGATCAGAGAACTTCCATACATAGTTTTTAAAAACTGGTGTTTAGAGAAATCTAAAATTCTATTGACTCTCTGCAGTGCTCTTTATCTTTCTAAAGACTATGACCTGTTAGAAGATATGTATGTAAAGAGAGAGTTATAAAAGTTTCTATATGCAGGATATTCTATAATCACAATAATCCAGAGATTTCATGCTTAATATACTTCATTCCCAAAGACAGGTCAGATTAAGTTGTGAAAGTTATCCAAAACATTAGTTGGTACTTTGCAAGCCAAATATCTGAGTGGTTTATTCAGGCTTTCACTCTACTAATTATATGCTTTCATATAACGTATTCCTATGTAGATTTAGTCTTCTGCCTCTGGGGAAATGAATGCTCTTAGTCCAATGAGATGTCTGCAAGAATAGACACTATCATTATTAATCTGCATTAAGTCTTCTTGGAAGTACCAGACATAAATATTTAATAAATGGAATTTGATTATTATGTTATTTTAAACATGCTTGTGTAGCTTTCTTTGTTTAAATGACAGTGTATAAAAGTGCCAATAAGAAATATACTCAGACCGAGTGTGGCCAGCTCACACCTTTAATCCGCACACATTGGGAGGCCAGGGTTTATCGCCTGGGCCCAAGAGTTAGTGATCAGCCTGGACAACATGGCAAGATCCCGTCTCTACAAATTATAAAGAAAAGAAAACTAGCCAGGTGTGGTGGCATGCTTCCACAGTCGCAGCTGGAAGGCTGAGGTGGGAGGAACACCTGATCCTGGGAGATCAAGGCTACAGTAAGTCGTGATCATGCCACTGCTCTCCAGCCTGAGCAACAGAGTGAGACCTTGTCTCAAAAAATACATATGTATTTTTTGGTCTCAGTATTTAAGGTCTCAGTATATATATTTCAGAATATATATATATATTCTGAAATAAATGCTACAATCTGGAGATACTGTCACAATTTTATATAACTGCCATACTCTTCAGAAAGTAAAATTTTGGGATAATTATTATTTTTAAATGTATTATATAAAAATGGAGAAGACAGATGGTAACAATAGTGTTATTCTATTTTCAGAGAAATGCATCCTGAATATATAAGGTGTTGACTACTCTAGAGAGAATAAGTGATATTTCACTGAAATATGCTCATGAGTGAATTTGTAGTGTAAAAGGATTTGAGACTGAAATGAAATGACTACCATTTGTTAAAGAATGAGATGTTTTACAGTGACTCCACATCATTCAGCTCATTGTGTGAACTTGCATCAACGGTTTCCTTCATTGCCTACTAAGGGTTTGCATTAAACCTCATGATAGTTTCCTACCAATTGTGAGAACTGTAACAAAATAACTCTCAGGATAAGTATTTCGATAATTCTACCATTTGAGATTCAGGTCAATGTAGTCTGAATATTCTCATCCAAATGTGAATATATGTCTAAAAATGTGAGCCATAAGACAGATAGGTTCAAATTTATACCTTAACAGAACTAAAAATTGCCATCCTGTTTATGGAATAGGCTGTCAATCTCACAACATTATTAGGAAGAGTTACTTACTACAGTTTTCTTCATCTGAGTTATCACTGCAGTCATTTTGGCTATCACACCGCCAGTGATCTGGAATGCAGTTGTTGTTTTTACACTGGAATTCATGAGGTCCACAAGTCTTTTTATCTGTAATGGAAAGAACCAGAGTTTGCATTGTAGATTTCCATGAAGACATCCCTCACAATGTCCTGACTGCCATGACAAGTCCATGGCATATAATGTTTCCTTAATTCAGTTACTAAGAAGCATCCTTAGGAAAAATTGAAGGCAAGTGCTGAGGAAAATCTATTTTTTGTCTTGTTTTATGTTGTTATTGTTCATGCTTTCACTGTGAGCTAATTAAGAAGAAACCAATTGGACCATCCAAGCAAAGTCAACACAAATCAGTTTTCAAAAAATCAAAATTGGCCGGGCATGGTTGCTCATGCCTGTAATCCCAGCACTTTGGACAGTTGTCTTTTCATTTAGGACACATCCTCTCTTCTCCACCCTGTATTTCTGCTATAAAGCAACAAAATATATGGTTATTATTACAATTCTATGGTTGTCATCTTGTGTTTCTCCCTAAGGAGCTCGTATTCATAATCGATCTGTGATTAGCTGCTCTTTCTAAATCCTGGCCACTGCCCACTCACAAACTCATTGGTTATCATAATGCTTCATACGTGTATAGAGTTTGAACATTAATTATGGGCCATCTCACATGAACCTTTAAACAATTCCACTGAGTACCAGGAAAAGTATTAACTAGCCTTTCACTTTACAGATGGTGAAATAAAAACTTTTGGAAATTTAGGAACTTAATACATTTTCACTATCATTAAATGGCACAGCCAATATAAAAGAAGTGTGCTTCTACTCCTGATCTAGCGCTTTTTACAACAAATGTAACTTACATGTATATCAGCTAGAATCAGAAAGCATGTAATAAGAATTTATTTAAAGTTTAAATCATATGTATTAAAACTATAATATTGAACTATATATAGCTAAAACAGTGCTCCATTAAACCTTAATGTGCATACATATAAGTCATTTGGGAATTTTGCTATAATGGAAATTGAGATTCAGTAGGTCTGGGTTTCTAACGAGCTGGCTGGCAATAATATTGCCTTTTGTCTATGAAACACACTGAATAGCAAGATTCTGGAGTAACAAAATTATGAATTAAATAACATTAAAATGATAAAATTATAAGTCTCAATACACAATCTAGAACACATTTCGCTTTCATGTACTCAGATAAACTCCTTATCATCCATACTAGAGATGGACAGTGAAGTGCTTCCAGTCTCAGACTAGTAAAACAAATCAGCTAAAGGAGTGGGTAAGTTATTGGTGGTGGTTCTTATGCTTTACTTTAAAATGCAACTTATAGAATTCAGACTCAAACAACATAAAAAAAACAAAGTGATTCTTCCCATCCATGAGTATGGACTGTTCTTCCATTTGTTTGTGTCCTCTTTTACTTTGTTGACCAGTGGTTTGTAGTTTTCCTTGGATGGGATCTAATTAAACTAAAAAGGTTCTGCACAGAAAAAAAATAAAATAAAATAAAATAACTACCATCAGAGTGAACACGCAACCTACAGAATGGGAGAAAACTTTTGCAACCTACCCATCTGACAAAAGGCTAATATCCAGCATCTATAAATAACTTAAACAAATTTACAAGAAAATCAACCCTATCAAAAAGTGGGCAAAGGATATGAACACACTTCTCAAAAGAAGACATATA